CCTGGCCCTCATGTGGGCAACTCTGCAACCCCAGGTGGCCTGAGGCCCACTTTTAGCTGCCCATTGACACCCTGACTGGGCTTCTTTCCCATCTTCCCTACTTCCCCACTCTCCTCCATGTGCTTCCAACAAGCGCCTCCCAGATCATCTGCTGGCTCTAGGTCCTTGTCTGATCTGGGAGAATTCAACCCAAGACACATTCCAGCAACTCGTGAGCCCATTCCTCCCAGTTATCAGCCTGTCCCCTGGCTGGGAATGCTGGAGCACAGAGCGCCACTGTAAAAGAGTCGTTGTGCAAGGGCAGCTGGCCCCAGAGATCAAAGAGGCCTCTGCATTCAGGAAAATATTGGGTCAAATAGCAAGTCATTTAGAAAAGCTCTCAAGTACAGCATTTCCCGAGCTCTGCAATTACAGTCTCTTTCTATGCTTGCTTTAAATGCCCTTGCAAACAGCTATTTACTCTCTGGCCTGGGGCACCACTGAAGGGCTCATTCTAAATATATCAGACAAACTCACAACCCTCAGGTTGCCTAATGCATATTTGTGAGAGTCGCTGAGCCTGTGGTTGAGAGCCTCCACATAAAGCCCAGCCACGATGTGCGTTTCAATCACTGCAGTTCTCTACTCCACCTTCCCCTTCTGCCCACCCTCTGGAGAAGCCACAAGGAATTTCTACAGGAAAGAAAAAACAGCAGAGTGTTGAGATTCATTGTTAGACTGGCTCCCAGAGCAAGAGCGTCACAGAGTTTAACACACACCTGGAGCTTAAAATATGCACCAAGAAATATTTGTCAAATAAATTCTGAAGGCACGCAAGTGGCTTACTTTTTCTTCTTTCTCTTCCTTCCTTCCTCTCTCCCTCCCTCCCTCTGTCCCTCCCTTCTTTCTTCCGGCACAAAGTATAAACAATGCCATTGCTTGTGAGAGGCAAAAACTGGAAGCTGCCTTTGTGTCCACGGGTCTGGGAGGGTTAATTCCGTCATGTGTGCTCCTCCTAATGTAATAAGCAGTGGCCTTTCCAGAGGGAGAGCTTTATGCTTTGAGCTGAATGTACCTCTAAGACATATTGTTACGTGAAAGAAAAGCAAGCAAAAAATGCTTCTAAATGCATGAAATACCTCTGGAAGGATAAACAAGAAATGGCCATCAGGGTTACCTCTGGGGAGAAGTAGAACACAGGCAGTAGAGGTGAGAAAGACACTTCACCTTACATGATATATATAACACAACAACAATAAAAATGAAGAGAAAGGAGCTGTTTTCTAGTCTGAATCCACTAACCATGGTGTGTGGTCTCATGATGGGTTTCAGAATTCCATGTGCGCCCCCTGACCAGTGTCCGGCTCAGAGCAAATAGCCCATAGGCCTCTCTGAATAAAGCCAGTGTGGCCCTGTATGTGGTCCCCAGACTGCCAACTTTGCCTCCTCTAGGCAAAAACAATGACCATGAGAATAAAGTGTTCTAAGTACAAGCCGTTCTTCATTCCTTAACTTCATTCCTTTAACACCTATTGAGCACTTACTCTGTGCCAGGCAGTGTCCTCGGCTCTGGGGATACAACAGAACAAGACAGCTAAGGGTCCCTGCTCCCGGGGCTTGCATTCTAGCTGGGAAGTGGGGGGCACAGGATTGACAAGTTAAATAGGTCACGGAGGCAGTGTGGTAAGTGGTGGTGAGAGCCAGGCAGGCAGAAGAGCAGTAAAGTGACTAGGAAGGGCGTAGGGGGAAGGTTGCAATATTAGGGTGGCCAGGGACATCCTCATTGAGAAGGTTGAGGCCTGAGAAGGTGAGGGAGTGGGCTCAGAGCTATCTGGGGGTAAAGCCAGAGGGACCAAAACCCCACTAGGGTCCAGAGGGACCAACCCCCTCCTTCATTTGTGTCAGGGTCTGGGTGCCCCGGAGTCTCTAGGATTCAGAGACACCTGGTTCCATCCCAGTGTTCAGAGTCCGGTGGAGCCAGAAGCAAGAGGAGCAGAGGGCTGGGTGCTCACTCACAGTCCCTGGACAGAGATGCCCCATGGGGCCCAACGTCTGCCCCCACTCAGTTTGGAGAAAACAAGCCCCAGTAGCCAAAGCAAAAGTAAATACTCCCAGGATACTTCATCCTAAATATCCCTGTACATGGACTCTCCCAGCATGGGGGACAGTCCTCAGATCACTCTTCTTGCAAAATGACCCACTGGGGGAAGCAGGGAGGGGCTCTGGAGATTCACCAAAGTTAGCTGGGGGAGCATCTGGGCCCAATGACAGACTAGCGCCCTGAAGGTGCGTACCCGCCCATCTGAGGGAGTGCCTTCAAAGCATGCCCACTTCCCACTGCACCTAAAACCTTTCCTTTTGCCCAAGGATGAGGGGAGGTAGGAGAGGCGTTCCCAAAAATGCCTCCTGGAAACTACTCCTCAGCTGCCCAGCAGAGAGGAGCACTTAGGTTGCTGTGAGCCACTCGAGGAGCCCTGGTCCTAACAGCCGCAAACTGGAGCGACCCGGCTTCCACCAGCAGGAGGATGTGTGAACAATGGGCGTGCGTCCACACTCAGGACACAGCACGGTAAGGACAAGAATGAACTTCCATAACACACAGCAGCGTGGACAGGGCCCAGATACGCGATGTTGAGCAAAGAGTGCACATGCAGTATGATTCCATTTACATGAAGGTCGAGGATTAGGTCAGAGTGGTGACTGATATGGGGGTGCTTGGCTTGGAGGGAGTGTCGGGGATGCTCTGGGAGCTAGCAGAGTCCCACATCTCTATCTAGGCCACACAGCCATGCACACATGTAAACATCCAGCAAGCTGCCCACTTACAAGTCTGCCCTTTACTGTCTATAAACTATGTGCCAGTACAGAAGTCAACAAAATGAAAAGTAAAAATGTAAAAATAAAGGCTGGAAAAGGGGAAGAGGTAGCCAGGAACTGCTAGCTTTTGTTGTCCTATTAGGGGTTCCTGAAAAGCCTTGAAGTGAGGGTCCTTTTCCCTCCACCCCCTGCACTATCCCCACCCAAGCCACTGTCACTTCCAGCCCCACTGGGTTCCCCAATTGTCCCTCTTGCACTCAACCCCACATACAACCCAGAGTTTACACAACCATCAGAGAGAGCACGTGTGACCTACTTAGAAATGGGTTCTATAGGGAGAGGGAGATGGGGTGTAGGGGTGATGCAGGGTCTTTTCAAAACACAAATCTGGGCAGGCTACTCCTATAGTTGACTCTCTTCAGCAACTTGCTAAAGGGTAAAATCCTAATTCCTTAATATGGTTTACAGGCCTTTCCAGACCTCAGCCCCATCTCCCACCAAGCCCTCCCTCCTTCCCCATCTCCCGCTGCCCTGCAGAACCCAATTCAGGTCCCTAAATAGGTCACATGCCCCTTTCACCTGCTGAGGGTGGTTCTCTTCCCCGTGCGCCCACAACCTGCATGGCCACCCCTCTCCCTCCCAGCCCATTCTCCAGCTATCAGTTTTCCCGTCTCTCCCTCTGAGGAGCTTTCCCTGACCCCTCCTGGGTCATAGCATTCATTGCTCGGTGGTACAGCCTGCTTAGGGATCTTTATCTCCTGCCACATGAAGCCTCAGGAGTGCGGACACCTGCCTGGAAGGGCGACTGTGAGGGCCCATGACATACATGGGATGTGCCCAGTGAGTGCCAGGCACTCCATGCATGTTAGTCTCCCTTCCCTGGAGCTGGGGAAGAAGGACTGGGGGTGCAGAGACTGGGTCCCTCCTGAGTCCTCGAAGGGCCTCAGGGCTGGGGTTGGGGCCAGGCAGACTCTAGGCCAATGGGCTAGGACTCTCCCTCTCTCCCGGCTCTCATCCACTCTGGATAACAGTGCCCTTTCCCTGTCCGGGGAGGAGAGGAAAGGCCTAGGATGAGTGTTTGGGAAGAGCTTTGGGAGGATTCCCTATTTCATTCTTCACAACTGTGCTTGAAGTTCCCAGGAGACCTTTTTGGTGGTGGCCACTGGCCTTCAGCCTGTCCTTCTCCCCCCGCCACTGCACCAAATGCTGGTTCTGCCTCCTACCTGCGGCCCATTCTATCAGGAGAAATGATTGTGGTCATAAGATTCCTCCTGGGGATTTAGCAAAAGGCTGCCTCCTGGGTGAGTTCCAGAGACAGCCCCTTCCTCTGACGTGCGTACTACCTCCATCCACTCGTACGCTGTCCAGTATGGCAGCCACTGGCCAAGCATGGTGATCAAGCACTGGAAATACAGCCAGTCCATCTCATGAGTGCTGTCAGCACAGAGTGCACACTGATGTCACGTAAAAAAGATAAATATCTCATGAATCATGTGTTAAACTGACTACATGTTGAGATGATAATATGTTTATAGATTAGATTTTTAAAAATATTAAAATTAATCTCACCTTGTTATAAGTTGAATTGTGTCCCCCAAAAAGCTGTATTGGAGTCCTAACCTCCAGTACTTTAGAATGGGACCTTGTTTGGAAATAAGGTTGTATTTCCTCATTTAGAAATAGGATTGCAGAAGTGATTAGTTAAGATGAGGTCATCCTGGGGTGGGTGGGCCCCCAATCTGATGTGACTGGTGTATCCTTATAAGAAGAGGAAACAAAGACACACAACAAAGGCAGAGATTGGAGTGATGTGTCTACATGCCAAGAAATGCCAAGGGTTGCTGGCAATCACCAGAAGCTGGACGCGACGCGATGAGGAAGGATCCTCCCCTATAGGTATCAGAGGGAGCAGGGCCCTGCTGACACCTTCATCTTAGACTTCTAGCCTCCAGAAGTGTGAGACAACACATTTTTGTTTTTTAATCGCCCAAGTTTGTGATACTTTATTACAACAGCCCTAGGAAACTAATACATCTCTTTTTCTTTTTACTTATTTGAATGTGTTTCCAAGGATCTTGTGAAGTAAGCATGCTATTATTTCCACTCTCCAGATGATGAAACCTGAGATTGAGAGAGGCCAATGAATGTGTGTAAAGTTGACAGAATGAAAGACACAAACATCAGAAACATGTTTCAGACCTCAATGCTCCTTCCATTGCTGATTGGAGATATTTGTCCATCCCACACTGTATAATGAGCACCAACAGTCTGCCAGGCACTGGTCTAGGCACTTGAGATAGATTAAGGAACGAGTCAAGGATCCTAGCCTTGTGAAGCTTAAGTCATAGCAGAAAAGACAGACCTTAAATAATAAACATAATGAATAATACATTATTGATTGCATTAGAGTTAAATGTTATGTGGAAATAAACAGGACCCAGTGAGGGGGTGGGAGGGCAGTGCCAGGGGGTTAATTCACAGTGCTGAATAGAGGGTGAGCATCAGCCTCATGAGTATGTAAGATTTCAGCTAAGATGTGAAGGATCTCAGGGATTAAACCCTGCTGATATCTGCAGGAAGCATATCCCAGCCCAGGGTACAGCCAGTGCAAAATGAAAGCATGAAGACTTGAGACATAATCAAGGGAAGTAAGGAGCCTTCCAGGTGGGTATAGACGCTTGTTGGAATTGCTGATTCTGTTTTTCCATTTGAATGTCCTCTTCATACCTCTCCTGAGCCTTGATGGCAAGACCCTTCCTGGAGAAGAGTCCCAGAAGGCTCCTCTGGGGTTGTTTCGCACCAGTAGATGGCTCCGCCATGTGAAAGCCTCCCCACTACAGGCAAGGTCCAGGGGCCACACCCAGCCAGGCTTCCTGGGTGAGAACTAAGCCTGTACACAAGGAGGTAGCATGTCCACCCACCAGGGACCGTCCAGGGCAACACTGGGCCCACCAACTCTGGGAGATCTGGGTGGACATGTGGAAGACACCCCCCACCCCACCTGTATGGAGTTAAATAGGCTGCTATTCTTGAGTCTTGAGGAGATTTGGGCACGGGGTGGGAGCCAAAGAGAGGGACCATTTTACTTACCTGAATGGCCTGGAAGTATAATGACACTTGTGTTACTGTCAGCAGTGAGGTGAAAATACGTGCAGATCCTTTGTTTAAGGTGGCCTCAGCCCCAAGGACATGAGGCATGGTGTGGGGGATATTTTTGGAAGCTATCCCAAGAAGAGAAGCCAGAGGTCAAGGTAAAAGTTTCTCCTTTCAGGACAGAGTGTGAGTCTGATAGCCCTCAGGCTTTTGTGAGCATGTTACTTGTGGATGTTAAATTGTACAGTGTCACAGTTAATTACTTAGTCCAGTAAAGACACCATCACTCTTATGAAATACCAACATTGTATGTTAATCACATTCCCCAGCCAAGGCAAAGACAGAAACCCAGCAGTGAGAGGCTCCACCATGCTGGGTGTCCCTGGTGTCCCCACACGCCTCATTAGAGTGGTGGGGTGGCAGCCACATAAAAAAATTGCGATTTCTCCACTTGTTCTGGCCAGAAGCGGCAGGCCAAGAGGCAGTTGATATTTTAGGCAATCAGAGAAGCCAAAAGAAAACTCTCTACCCACCCTGTGGCCCACGGCCTCCATGCTGTTTGCTAGTCTCATCTGTCCTTTTTTCCATCTAGCATTGCTCAACAGGATGGTGGCTGTGGAGGGAAGCCCTCTTCTTGTCTGGGGACAGAGAAAAGGGAATAGAGTGAGGGGGGATCCCAGGGTTAGGAGATAGGAACCTCAACCTCTCGCCATTCCGTACCATCCCCTACGGGTATCTGTTCTAATTCAATCACCATTTTTCAGATGGGGAAATAGATACCTGCCCAGAGGGGGCCAGATCCCATGGTTGTGCCTAGGTCAAGACAGCAGACCTCTAAATGCATGTCCTCCTTCTGCCCACACTGCCTCACTCGCTGAGGTCCAATGGAACAATGGAAAACAACTTCCAGGAAAATAAAACCCGTGTAGACTTGAAAACTTGAGAGAGGGTTGAGGACAGACAGGCTCATCCATAAGCGTCTCATGTGGGAGTCTTCAAACTGCATTCCAGGAGCACATGGACTCCTCGTCGGGGCTTCCAGTGCTGTGACCTTGGGCTCTTGTTCCCCACCCCACCCCACCACCCCTGATCACACCAGATCTCACTTCTTCTTTGGTCTATAGTTTAAGTTCCCACATTGGATTTCACTTAAAGAATTCATTATGTGAAAAACAAGGTTGGGATAGAGAACAAACTGTGGTACAGCCCATCAGTGTAATAGTAATCAGCATTGCAGAGGAATGGGTTTGTGACCCACCAGTGATACAGATGGACTTGAAATGCATTATGCTGGAAGAAAGAGTGCACACTGTATGATTCCATTTCTGTGACATTCTAGAAAAGATAAATGGTGGGACCAGATAGCAGGTCAGTGAGTGCCAGGAGCAGGGGTGGGAGGGACTGAGTGCAAAGGGCTGCAGGCTTTGGATTCCGTGGGCACGCTCTGCATCCTGAGAGTAGTGGTGGTCACACGACAACATGCACTTGTCACAACTCCCAGGGCTATACAGTACAAGGGGTAAATTTTCCTGTACCTAAATTATATCTCAATAAACCTGACTTAACTGAGAAAAAGCTTGGAGATCACTGCCAGAGAAACCTTTCCTTCTAAGGAGGGGGTGTCCCCCTCTGAGAGGCTTTTACATGCTAGGCAATCAGCTAGTTGTTTTAGCACATTTATTAAAACTCAAATTTTCATATATATAATCCTCACGATGATTCTATGGAGAAGCTGAAATTTAACAGGCTAGTTGTGTCAGATTGCATTTTCCAGAGCAGCAAGAGATAATGTAAAAAATAAATAAAATAATAAAATGCTGTGTTTTAACCCCCTGGGTTTGGGGGGTGATTTGCAGCATATCATTGGAACACCAGGTAAGCAGCTTGAGGCGGCTCCACGGCCAGCACTTGCACCCTGCATCCCAGGTCAGCCCACCCTTCTGCTCTGCCTTGTTCCAAATAAGGAAGACCCAAGCCTCCAGATAAAGCTATAGAGAGGAATCTAAAGGCACCACTTTCTGGGGCAGCTCTTCTCTGAGAACCAGGGGCCCAAGTGGTGCCTGGAACATAGTAGGTGCTCGATAAATGTTTGGCAAACAGAGAAATTGGTTCTACACTAGAAGCTGACAGAACAGTGAACAAGATGCAATTCCTGCTCACATCTAGACTGCTCTTTAGGGAGGAGATAGCAATAGTATGATGATTTTAGACACTAAGTGCTGGGAAGAAAAAGAACAGGGCTGTGTAATCAGGAGGGATTGGCTGTGGTGTGGAGGTCAAGGATGCCATCTCGAGCAGGTGACATTTGAACCTGAAGGGTAAAAAGATGCCAGCTTTGGGCAGTGAGAGGAAGGAATGGCCAAATTAAACAGCTGAAACACATACACACAACTTTAAAAATAGAAAAGAAAGACTCAGGCTAGAAGAAGCTTCACTTATTCTAGAGAAGGAAAAATAAAATGAAAAATAAATGATAGCATGGAATTAAGGACTGGCATTTGGTTAGGAGTTCAGCTTGCCACTAAGTCCCTTGTGCAGCCTTGAAGCTGTCATTTTCTCTTTCTTGGCCTCTGTTCTTCTTGGTATTAAGTGGGGAGTTTGGGTAAAATCAGGGGTATGACAGAGCCAGCAGGCACCGCCTGTCAGAGTAGATTGTGGACCTCTTCTCCCAAGTCCACATTCAGTGATGTCATATTGGTAGGTTGAAATGGGCCATTAAGGGAATATTTACACCATTGAAATTGGCAAATGCTGCAAATCAGGACTAATCGTTTTGTTTTGTTTTGTTTTGAGAGCTGGTTGTTAACTATTTATCAGCACACCACTGGGGCTCACAACCACATGTGCCCTGGGGCTCAGAACAGAAGCTGGTCTAGATACATGCTTCTCAGACTCTTTTGCTGAAGTTTCCTAGTGGCAGAGGAGAACTTATATATCACCCCAGAGGGCTGGGATCTCAGCATCTTGGGAGAATTTTCCTTAAAATCTCCTATTGTCATTTTTAATTCACAATTTTACATTCTATACCTTAGTGTGTCTATGCTACTAGTTTTCTCACACATTCAGAAAAGTAAATTTTTATTTTCCTAACTTCAGAAAGATGCATGTTGTTAATTCTGTGGGTTTTTTAAATCACACACACACACACACATGCTCCTACATGGCTAAGTTTGCCCTGTGGTCAAGGTTGGCATTATTCAGCCTCTCCAGGTATAAGGCCTTCCTCTATCCATCTCTCTCTCCGTCCCTTTTCTCTTTCCCTTCCAAGCCCAAGGTCTTCCCTGACTTGGAGCTGGTCTTGGACACTGGAGGGAGTAAACCAGCCCTGTGAGCCCAAGTGTGAGGGTGTGTGTGCCCTGGGGCTCAGAACAGAAGCTGGCCAGGATCTGCTCTTGACAGAGGTGCCCAGGCCTAGCCGGCAGTCATGCCCACATTCTCAGGAGAGAGCAGCCGCCTGGCTCCTTGCAGGTGGTCCCCCAGATGCCAACAGCAGCCATGGGTTATTTCCCTGCATTCGGAAAGGAAGGAGAACTTTCCTCTCCTCCTCCTCTGGAAGTGTGTGGGCTTACTCATCACCCTGGGGCTAGGTCTGGGAGATCTGCTTTCTGCAACCTAGACTCCAGGCTGCCACAGCTTCCTGACTGACCTTGGACGGATGGTTGTTTTGTCTGTCCTCTTTTTCCACAATCAGCTGCCACTCATCTCACTGCTGGGGATGGACAGCTGGACAGATGTGTGAGGCAGCCTCGGGAAACAGACAATAGTGCCAAACACAGAGTTGGCAAATAGGCTGTGCTGCCATCCCATTGAGAGAGGAGCAGAGACCCAGCCTCCTTGGACGCCAGCGTCTGGGGTGCTAAACCGACTCATGGAAAATTCCAGAAGAAATATACAAAGCAACACCATCCCCAAAGGAGACTAGGGAACTCTGCAGAGGGGAGAAGCCAGAGCGTGATGGGAGTTGGGGCAGGAGTGGGGGGCAGGGGCAGACTCCACCATGCCACCAAATTGGCACCAAAGACATCAGTGGCCCTTCATTGCTAATTCTGTGGCTGCTCTTTGTAAGTAATCTCACCACCCCTTAGTCTCGTTTGGACTGATCCTTCACTCTCTCTTTCTTAAACCTCTCTTCTCTCCTGTCTTACTTGGGGTTCGTCCAAAGCAGAATGCATAACAAGGACTTGCATGCAGGTTGTTTATGTGGGAGGTGGTTCCCTGGAAGCAGGAGTGGGATGCAGGGAAAGTGAGGCATGGGAAGTATATGTGTTATTGGACTATTGTTTCAGACAGCCAGAGCCCGGTTCTGCCCAGGCCCTCCAAGGTGTGAGGAGACAGGCTCAGCAGATAAGGATAAAAGAAATTGGATACCTTCATAAAAGGTAGACTCTGACTGAGTTGAAGATCTAGACTGAAACACTAACTGTCTAATTCAGAGAAGACATCATAGGAGAGCACCTTTGTGGGCCAAGGAGAGAGAAGGATTTGTTAAACACCTTCAAATGCACAAACAACAAGGCAAAATACTGGTAAATTTGGTTTCATCAAAACTAAGGATCTCTGCTCAACAAAGTTCACAGACAGAGCAAAATGAGAGAAAGTATTCACAATGTCTAAAACTGACTAATTAATATCTAAGATATTTGCAGACCTCCTGTAAAATCAACAAGAAAAAAAATTAAAAACAGAAAACCCAATAGAAAAATGGGCAAAGAGCATGAACAGGCATTTATAGAAAAGAAAACCTGAAGAAGGCAAACAACTATTTAAAGGAAAACTTAAAGTCATTAGTAATCAGTGAAATTGAAAATTAAAATATCAATGAGACAATGACTTGTAACAGAAACACCTGCTGTTGGAAGATTGGAACAGAAGCACCTTCACCCTCCTGGTGATATAGGTGAGAACTGGCACAGCCATTGCACATCTTATTCAAAAAAAAAAATGGTCACCATTCTGTGACCCAGAGACTCTACATTAAGGCACTTCATTTTTCCAACCATGAGCAGTTGAGCTTCTGCATGAAAGCATGGTTCTGGGGCTCTCCACACCAGTGCTTTCCCCACCCAGTGCCCTCCCTGAGCAAGCCTCACTAACACAGATGATGTCACTAGAGGAGAAAATGAGGAAATGGCAAGTGCCAAGGGGCCTGCACTATTTTTGCTCCTGAGTTTCCCTTACTCTCCAGTGTCCAGCCTGGGGATGTGAGTGGTCACAGCCGAAAATTCCTACAGGCTCCACCTGGCTGCCCACCAGTGCTTCCTCTGCCCCAGGGGCTCCCACCCCACTGGGCACTTCAGCAGAATCCTGACCCGCCCCCCAGTCCCTACCTCACCACTCTGTGAAAGCTGCCATATCCAGGTTCCCCAAGCTGCAAGGGGTTAGGGGATAGTGTGATTGTGGGTTATGAATCAGAGTCATGTCCAGTTACATAGTTTGGGGTCATCCAGATATTTGTTGGTTTTACTGCCACGCCCCCAGGGCCAGGCTGATGGAGGGAGTCAGGACGTGTGGGTACTGACTTCATAAAGCAGCCACGTCCTTAACGTTTAATGACTTCTTTTAAAAACCTGCTCTAGGTCTTGCTTTTCCCCCTAGTCTTGTTTTTACCACCCACCCCACCCCATGAATGGGAACATAC